CGGGTTTATGCGGGAAGAAAGGAAAGTAGATGATAGCGGTGATGTCGATGCGTCCAAAGCAAGCAAAGCAGAATAAACGGAAAACAATCTGACGGATGCACAAGTGGCGCAACAAAGTGGCTCACCAAAAGGAGTATATCAACTCCAGCCTTCAAAAGAGCTGCGGCACGCTCCAGACCATCGGCGTGGGTAGAAACCGCGCCGCCAACCAAAAGTCGCTTCCTGTTGATAATACGCAGCGAGTGGATGAACCAGAGGAAACCAAAGATGAAGGCAGGAAATGGGATAGGGAACAGACGCACTAGCCACGCAAACAGTTGGAAGCGTAACAAGGATGAAGATCAGGAAATTGGTCAGAAACCTGTGGTTCGCCCGTCTTTCTTGAGCAGACATATTCCAATGTAGCGATGCGGATGACTCGTGGAATGAGCCAGTTTCTAGCGATGGATGCTTGCTTTACAATGTCCTCAGGCCCACCAACCCATCCAACGAATGAATGGAAGCAAGCGATGGCAAAAAAGGGTGCAAAAGGATAACCTACGCGTGCCACAACCTATGCGCAATAGCTTCCTTCAATTCAATCAAACTACACAGCGGAGATTAGCGCTGATATTAATTAAGCACTGGAGTGTCGTGCGGTCTGGGAACTAAACAAAGGCAAACGTATCGGATGCACTTCATCAGACGAAAAAGGTACATATTATTGAGAGGAGGGGAGGTATATGAGGATAAAGATGAGATGGCGACTTCAGCGACGGCGGATAAAGACACCTTCCGGGAAATATAATTTTTCCTGCTGACTTAACCGCAAGCAATGCGGCAAGTCACGGAACAAGGAGATTAGGACGCTTCGATGATCGAAAAACCCCAGAAAGCAATAGTAGAACTATGAGGGCATTACCAACGACCGACTTCGTCACCTGATAACTTAAGAATAAATGTAAACTGAGGGAAAATAGGGCGGGCTTTTGAAATTGAGCCGCAACATTTTTTTCTTCCCTCCATTCGCATGTAAATATTCTTATAAATGTATCGGTTGGCCCAGTGCGCGTATTGGATCATCCACCTTTTGGTAAAGCACAGTCCTAGCAACATTCGGCTGGTAAGCACAACTGCTGTCAGCCACATTCCGTTTAGCCGGGTGTACACACACTAGTGTTCTTGATTGCAGTTCAGGGCAAAATATACGAGAGGGACGCCTATCGAGAACCACGCAAAGTGAAGGCAAATGCAGAATAACGGCTTGTGAATTACCGTCACCACTAAACTGACTCACAGGACCGCGCATAGAATCTGGCTTAAGAGCGCGCTTAATAGTAATGCCGTTCGGGGCGACGCGTTAATCCCCACCTTAAATGTGTAGCACTTGGCACGCTAAAAGGACAACTTAAGTAGATCGAGGAGCGACGGTTTCATGTTGACCGACAAAACCCACAGAGAAATTTTATGGCCCAAAACTGTGTGCATAATGAGCAGCTCGTCCCTTTCCTATTTCCGTAGTATAAGCACATTGACCATGCAATGATAACAGATGAGAGATGCAGAAATTCCCGGATTAACCATACTTGTTCTAAAAGCCCTTAACAAGGCGCACAGCCAAGCTTGCATCACGGGCGGACTTAAGGCGGTGTCGCTGTCGGGACTTGAACACGCTCTTTAAATGCCATATAATAGAAATTGTGCAGTGGCAAACGGCTTTGTCGCAGATAAGTTTCATGAACAGGAGGCCTCCTCTTGCAGTCAAATTAAAAGAGCAAAAAGAGCTGTTTGACGACGGGTATAAAGAAGAGTTGGACAGAAATTTGTAAGGCAAAAAATATGCCCGACGTTTGCTATGATTGAGAGGAATTGCCGCAGAAAAGAATAAATTGTGCGGAACTGAGTGCATATAAAGTGTGATGAACTACGATACATGCACATCAGCGCTGTCCTTTACCAGAAATAGTTCGATGTAGTACACAGACAGTACATGAAAGAGGTACTTAATTGCCCCATAAAGTATTTTCACATACAGCTCCGACAGTCGAAGCCAACAGCAGAGACAGACGCAATTTCAAATGCGAACCCGAAACTTCCAGCGAGTAAACGACTGTATTTCTTCTCAGAATCTCGCCTTTTTTACTTTTACCATCAATCTGCTTTTGGGCGGAATACGCCCTAATCTACTGAAAAAGTTGTTTAGATGTCCTCGTAACAATGCAAAGTTTACAAAAATAACAGTCGTGCCTAGATTTAATGTGACTTTTCGCATTCTTCGTGAGCAAGATAATTGTCGACATGTCTCCCACTGCCTGCCTAAGGAAAGCATATAGCGACCTTGTACTTCTTAGCCATGCTTTCCTCGGACGCCGCGGGGACAGGTGATGTCTGGCATGACCAGGGAACAAAAACTGCAGGATAGTAAGGACCTACCGCTGATCTTTTGAAGACAGAGGATGCTGTGTATTCTTCTTCAAGTCCGTCCTAGAAATTAGAGCGACCAATTCATTGTTC